GTAGTGTGGATTACAGGAGCTTCTAGTGGGATTGGTGAATACTTAGCTTATGAATTAGCCCAATGTGGATGTAAACTGGTTCTTTCTGCACGAAGAAAGCACGAGCTGGAGAGAGTCAGGGATAAATGTGCAGGTATAAGACGTGGCCATTCAAATGGCATGTATCTGAAGCACATTTTGGGATATTTAATTTAAGGTGGTAGGTGCATCCTCTCTGTTTTCTGTCTATATAAACAAATATAGTCTTTTTAGACTTGTAGTTCATTCATCAAATGAGCTGACAGATTGACCACTCAGTGTGCACTTCAATGTTCCCTCCTTGGCTGGTCTACATTCYCAGATTTACAACTTGCATTGTCTTTCATTATGATACTCAGAAATTGCCATCCAGCACCATAAATCGTATGACAAGAATAAGGACATACTAGTTCTGCCAATGGATTTGAAGGAGTTCTCATCCCATAGGAACCTTAGCCAGCAGGTTTTAAGTCATTTTAAACAGATAGATGTACTCGTGAATAATGCTGGATGCGCTCAAAGGGGTTGGATGAAAAACACTCCATTAGAAGTGGAGCAGGACTTGTTGGATCTTAATCTTGTTGGAACAATGTCTCTGACCAAAGCTGTTCTTCCTCATATGCTGGAGAGACAAGCAGGACAGATTGTTGTTGTCAACAGTATCATGGGGAAGTTTGGTATGTTGATGACTGTTTAATAAAATTGAATAAAGATCTAGAGGATAAGAAAGGAGAGGAGAGAAGTGCCTTGCAGTGCAAGGTGTAATACAGCTGACTAGAATAGAATCGAATGGAATCGACTAGAATCAGCGTCCAAAGCGTCAGTTTTTTCATCTTTTCACGGTGTATAATTTACCTTTTTATCATTACTGTTCCATTAGAAACACCGACGCAGCTGACAGCTAGTTTTTAGCTAGTTATCTCTTCAGTGTACAATATAATAGAGTTGAATAGAATGAAATGGAATAGAGTAGAGTAGAATTAAAAATCCCTTTCACAGTTCCTTGTTCTAGAAAGGTAGCCATGCCTTTGCATTGAAGCGAGACAAACAGTGAGCTGGCAATGAAAGAGACCTTTTATTATCACCCTGAACAATTATTCACATGCCTCTATCATTGCAAGGTTACCACCATTCTCCTTTTGATGCAAAGGCATGGCTACCTTTCAAGATGGCGCAGGAACTGTGAAGGGGACTATTTAAGAATGTAGAATAGAATGTAATAAATGAGAATAACAAACAGACTGAAAGTATGATGACGGTCCTAAGCCAGAGCTATGAGAGAGAAAAAAACTTAACAAAGATAAGATGAAAAATGCATTAGTTATGAAATGTAAATACTTATCCATTTATATTGTTTAATAACAATCTTTCTTTTTTTAAGGGTTCCCTTATTTGACTACCTATGCAGCTAGTAAATTTGGTCTTCAAGTAAGAATATTATCTTATGATTAAAATTATATTGTTTTAAGGATTAATAATTATTTTTAAGAATATACAAACACATCTTATTTCATTAAAGAAAGTCCCTGAACTTCTCCTTTGTCTGTGGTCCTTGATTTTAGGATATTAACAAAGTTACTTAAATATAAATTTAATGATTTTGAAAACAAAATATTCATCTGGCATATTAACATTGCTAATAGAAAAACAGTGGACAACTGTATCGTAGAAATATTCCAAGAATATGTTTCTTAACCAATCAGAAGCATTCTTGTTATCTTTCATTATCTTGTGGTTAGAAAGTCAATTGTGATTGGCCAAAGAACAATTGAACATTCCTGGAATTCATTCTAGGTGCTGACGGTTTTTCGATTAGCACTGTAATGCAATTTTTTCTACATTGTCTTCAGCATTATGAGCTTAAATTGTGCATCCTTACTGATAGAGGGGCCTATACTTTCTATTTCCAGAACTCTGCTGGGATAAATTTATAGCTTTAATTCTTTATTTGATGCTTGTACTGATATCGGTCCTTGTTTGTTTTTGATTTGTTTTTTTTTTTTACCTTTCTTTTTTTTCCTTTCAAAAGGGTTACTTTAAGAGTCTTCGTTTGGAGTTGGCAGACACGGATATCAATGTGCAAGTTGTCTGCCCAGGGCCCGTCAAGTCTAATGTAGCTGCTTATGCTATTACTGAGGAAAAAGATAAAGTAAGTTTAGTTATTCTGGTCTCTTTGTACTTTCAGTGGCTTATGGAGGTCTTGACTACAGGGGGGCAATGTCCCATTTTCACGCTAATACATGCGTACTACACATTTCATGTTAAAGTTTTCCACATGCGTATCCACAGCAATCCAGCATGAAAAAAGGCTGCACATGTGCAGTTTCAACAACCGTGCTCCATTGACTAATACAGCACAGTTCTTGACCAATCAGAGTGTGCATGGGTACTCTATTAGTATTCTACATGTATATAAAAAATTTTATTATTCTTTTTGACAGGCATTCGGAGATACCGATGGTTACACAGATCCAGGGGAGCGAATGCCAACAGAACGCTGCACCAAACTGATGGCAGTTGGTATGGCTCACAACATGAATGAAATATGGATTTCCATTCAACCAGCTTTGACTTTCATATACATGTCTCAGTACATGCCAACTGTATTTGATTGGTAAGAACTTAATACAGCATATAATATGTTATGGATGGCTGTTTTCTGTAATTGACACTAATTGATATAAGGCTAAGTGTAAACATGGAATTTCACATGTGCTTGAAGTCATTTGCATTTAGATTACAGCACATATGAAGCTAAACTTTTAAACTGAGGCTGATAATCAGTGCTTTTGCCATTTTCAGGTACAGCAAAGACAGGTTCCTTGACATAATGAAGGCAAAGTTTATTAAGGGCTAATCTTGAGGTAAGAGATATGATACACGTGGCTGCTGCCTGGAAAGTTTCATTTACTTGTTCTTTGTATCATTAACATTAAGACTTCAAACCCATCAGACCCACGACACACTCCATGTAGACGGCAATAATTTATTTATTTGTTTTTGTTTTTGGAGTGTATTTAAAAACAGGCTTACAAAAGAAAAAGACTATTTAAAAAAACTTTTTTTTCCATTTCTCTACAACAGGTATTCCAAAAACATCCAAGAACAGCTAAGAACAAGTATTGGCTTATTCTTGAACTAGGAGTATCCCCTACGTTTGTCCAATCCAGAATGTGGCATACCTAAACTAAAATAGTTCAACCTACATAGTTAGTGCCAGGGTTTTGCTGCCGAAACTAGAATTGTAGTATCCAATCCCTTAGGGGAGGAGAAGGTGTTGCATTGTCTTACGAGTGCCTTACAGGTTCCTGGTTTTGACTCTTCCTAAAACTATTACTTTTTACGACAAAATTAAACAAGTGACACTAATCCAAAATTGTGGAACTTCCGAACCTGGATTTACTCCTTGAATCAGACTTTCCTAGGTGGAGCATTGGATCGATAATAATAGTCTAAAATTTACTTGAAGAATAAATTGCTTTGACACAGTTATCAGTTTAGAAGTTAGTGAAAGACTTGGCTTTTATAGGAAGGAAACGATTAATGCTACACATTGAGATTCTGTGAGATTGCGGTTTCCCTTATATATTTTGCCTTTTTTTCATCTTTATCAAACAAGCATTCAAAAGAGATCTTCTAAAATCCCTCACTCGTGGCCATGTAAGAACACATGCTTTTAAAAACAGAAATAGAGGGTGGCCGTCAGTCAACAACGTCAAACAACAAAACTGAGCAACTTAGGGATAAACCATTAGATAATTGATGGGGGGTTGCAGGAATTTTGGTAGCATGATATTTTTTTGGCTCAACCCTTGCACATTTTTTTTTACGTACAGTTAGATATTTTTCTTCTAGCAGAAGAAGTTGCACGAAATTTTTTTTGAGGTTTAAGTGCTTGCTCGATATTTTGGGGGGGGGGGGGATTTTCGTCCCTTAATTTGGACTCTACAGAGTACAAATTGTGATTTTATTGTACTCCTCTTGTCCAATGAGAATCGAGTAATTCAAAAATAGCACGTGATTCGGGATTTGAACCCCCTCACCCTCCTTAGAGATCATGTTAATACCATCTAGATAGACAATTCATTTGTAAGAGTAAGCTTTGTCCTTTCAACCGGCAGGATAACATAGGTTAATACCATCTAGAAGGACAATTTATTTGTTCGAGTAAGCTAGGTTAAGCCTGAAACGAGCACTCTTTCTAAAACGATATTGCCAAATTTATAATTAAACTTGTGTTTATTTTTAAAAAGAAAATAAAAAAAAAGTATCTTGATACGATGGGATTCGAAATCACCGACGGAAATTTAAAAAAAAAAGAATCGATCCCACTGTGCCATACCCCCGAGACATCCGCAGAGCTAAGGCGGCGTATGGACTTCGGACCTGACGGCAATTAAATCCTTCTGCCCTTGGGTGTACGAATTACGCAAGAAATTGTTCTAGCCGAAGCATCAGGGGAGAGACCAGCCGGCCCCCAGACCATATCGGCTAATCCCTTGCATTTCTGCCACGCACGGAATCGGTTGAAAAATACATATCAAAAAGTCTAGTCTATCTGGTGCATTATTTTCATGGCTGTTGTTATGCTGATTCATATTTAACCGTGGTCCAGTGGGAAAAACCTGGGCTTCCATATCATGACTCTGAGTCAAGTCCGGATGAGCGGAGTTAGTACCTGGATGGGTAACCTGAAACTTATGCTTACTAAAAATATTTTGCAAGTCCTTTCTGTAACTTTTAGTTCACTTTGAGTACACCGTCGAAAATTAAAAACTGCCGGGCATTTAATTCGTGATCGGTAGTCTGAACTCATGTAATCATATCTGAAGACTATCCCTTAATCCCTTAACCTGAACAAGGAGTATCCCCTACACCTCGAACTAGGAGCCGATCCATTAAACTTTTACAAGGAGTATACCCTATATCTGAGCTAGGAGTATCCCTTAACCTGAAGGAGTATCCCTTACCTAAACTAGGAGTATCCCTTAACTTGGACTAGGAGTATCCCTTAACTTGGACTAGGAGTATCCCTTAACCTGAACTAGGAGTATCCCTTATACCTGAACTAAGAGTATCCCTGACCCTGAACTAGGAGTATCCCTTACCTGAACTAGGAGTATACCCTATACCTGAACTAGAAGTATCCCTTACCTGGACTAGGAGTATCCCTTATACCTGAACTAGGAGTATACCCTATACCTGAACTAGGAATATCCCTTAACCTGAACAAGGAGTATCCTCTATACCTCGAACTAGGAGCCGATCCCTTAAACCTCTACAAGGAATATACCCTATATCTGAGCTAGGAGTATCCCTTACCTAAACTAGGAATATGTCTTATACCTGAACTAGGAGTATCCCTGACCCTGAACTAGAGTATACCCTATACCTGAACTAGGAGTACTAGTCTACGTTCATCTTCAAATCCAGAACGTATACCGGAACTGCAATAGTTCAATCTGCATAGTTAGCGCAGGTGTTTAGTTTTGCTGCCAAAAGTCCCATTGTAGTACCCAATCCCTTAGGGGAGGAGAAGCTGTGAGTTATGGAGTACAAGTAGCTTGCGGTTTGATAGTTTTGATGCTCGTAAAACCATATCTTCTTAAGACAAAAAACAAAACAATTTACACCATTGATACCTATTTCACTTGCTCTTTTAGAATTTAACATTTTAAGCCTTAAAATCCAAAATTGTGGAAAATCTGGAACTGGATTTACTCCTTGGATTGGACTTTTCTCAGGTGGACTGTCGGATCGAAAAAATATTCCTTTAGTTTTTCAACTTAAAATTAATGTAAAAAGTCTAGCATTACCTTAGGAATTACTTTGACGCAGTTATTTTTAGAAATTAATGAAAAATATTGTTTTTATGAGAAGGAAATGGTCACAGATTAATAGTTACAATCAGTGAATTTATTGCACTTTTTCTGCCATTTCTTTTTATCTTTATCGAACTAAAATTCAAAAAAGGGTACACGAATTAAATTGTTGAGTTTAGGCGATGCCTGATCACATGCTAAAACAGAAAGAGAGCAGTTATTCAGTTACCATCGGATACTGCAAAGGCATAAAGAAATATTTATTCCAAGGTTATGGATACTGGGTACGGTAACGCAGCATCAATGACGCTATTTAAGTGAAAACGTAATGCGTAAGTAGTGATTATTATTTCTTTTAAAGCCCATGTGTTTTATTATAGGCTATTCAATATAAGTATGGACTGCCTGTGGTGCGACAATGGTCCAGATACCACAGGGAGCCCAAACTCTTTTCTACTTTCAGTACTAATTTAGCGGTGACTTTCCTATGTACTTTACACTATTTCAAATAAAGGCACATTAATACCACTTGCGGAGTTTACAGCCAGGGAAACGATTTTTGCTCCTAATCAACTCTTAGACCAATTTCGTGTCTTAATTTTTTTAAAGCTGGATGCGAACCAGATCATACCAACTTTCCTTTTTTCTTAAAGCCGGGAAAAGTTATATGTTTTGGTTGACCACAACCTATGACTTTTCGATTACGAAGGTCTTTTCACTGGATGTGAAATAATCATGGTCTATTAAATGAAGTTCACATCCGGTTAAAGGACCTTTTGGATTACAAAAAACTAGGTCCTTTCACTGGATGTAAAATAGTCATGGTCTAATGGAGTTCACATCCAGTGAAAGGACCTTTGGATTACAAAAATGGTCCTTTCAGGGGATGTGAAATAGTCATGGTGTAATGGAGTTCACATCCAGTGAAAGGACCTTTTGGATTACAAAAAAGGTCCTTTCACTGGATGTGAAATAGTCATGGTCGAATGGAGTTCACATCCAGTAAAAGGACCTTTAGATTACGAAAATGGTCCTTTCAGGGGATGTGAAATAGTCATGGTCTAATGGAGTTCACATCCAGTGAAAGGACCTTTTGGATTACAAAAAAGGTCCTTTCTCTGGATATGAAATAGTCATGGTGTAATTTTAAAGCTGTTTATCGACTCCAAAATCTAATTTGTCCAATGAGTTTCTTTTTGTCTTTGTTAATATTACTTTTTTTTCTTCTGACCAAAACCTATAACTTTTCGATTTTGAAAAAGGTCCTTTCAGTGGATGTGAAAAACAAGTCTATTGAAAAGTCAAATCCATTTAAACCTGACCTTTTGGATTACGAAAAAGGTCCTTTCAATGGATGTGAAATAGTCATGGTCTAATGGAGTTCACATCCAGTAAAAAGACCTTTTGGATTACGAAAAAGGTTCTTACAATGGATGTGAAATAGTCGTCAAAAATGAAGCAACTGTTTTCTTATTTGTAGCTCGTCCCTTAAGGGCCACGTTAAACATGCAACAACACTTGCCATGGTTTCAGTATTTGCGGCAATCCGTCTAACATGCAGCAATACATGTACGTTTCTTTTTTGGAGCAACTCGTCCAACGTACAGCAACCCGATTTGACTTTTTTGCAGAAACTCATCTAACTTGCTGCATGTCGCCTTTGGGTCACCGTATTAACTTGCATTTTATCTAGTATATTTATGATTTGTTGCCAGTGAAATAGGGTGGAAATTGAACGATCACCACTTGCGCGCGCAAATCTTGGCTCTTCATCCTGTCCTATAAGAATTTTTTGCAAGTTCTTAAGAGAGGCTGTCAGCAACGGTCGACCAAGTCGCGAAAAATAAAAAAAATCGAAAATTCTCAAACTCTGTCAGAAGATAGCATTTAGTGAACTAGTAACTGTAAAAATACTAAAACATTCATAGGATTTTTATTTTAGGCGAACGGTCGCATTTTCTGATTTAATGTTAATTAGCGTCCAGAAACAGGCTTCGACCATGGCTTCTTTAAAATTCTCTTAAAAATTCTACAAAATATAAAAGACAAAAGTAAAACTTTTCCAAGAATCAAATAATGTTTATCAGGATTTTTATAAGATTTTGTTGACATTGCTTTAAATTTGAATATTTTAAGGATTTTCAAATATTTTGGAATTTTCGACATTTTGACGACGACAAAAAACGTCTAACTTCAGAGGTAAAAAAAACAAATTGCCACATGGACTAGTTCAACGGCAATGATTTGCTGCTTAAATATAATGTTTCTCCTTCTAGAAAATGCAATAAAATTTCTGGGCTGCTTAAATGGTGAACCCTGGGAGAGCAAAACGTATACCAACCAGTGGTCAATTACGTGACCTAAACACAACGTTGCGTGACTCACTCTCGGTAATATAACTAGAAGTAAATACACTTTACACTGGAATTTTAAGTCTATCTATGGTCCTCAGCGATGATATGAATGTTCTAGAGTCATTTCTCTGGTAAGATCGTCTTTTGAAGTATAACTTTCGATCAAAATGAGCTGCATTCCATCTCAGTTCTTTACGCATCTACCCGGTCGTAATAACTTACTACTGATTAATGTCTTTAAAGAAATATG